ATTTATTTACTTTTATTTATTTTTTATCATTATTTAAAGACCGTTTTCTAAGTTCTGCTTAAACTTGTTTCTTTGTGTGAATCCAGCTCCAGAAAGACCCGYTCCAGCTCCTGGCCTTCAGTCTGGCTCCTCACCTGTCCAACACACAGCAGGTCTCACCCACTAACCTCAAACCCAGCCAGGTGCGTCTCTCACAGCCGAAATCCGACGCCGCCGAACCCGGTCCGGTCCGCCGGGGCTCCGAGCCCGGTCTGAAGGGGATCCTGAAGAAGAGCCACCCTGCGGGCTCCGAGTGGAGAGGGGCAGGCAGCGGTCCGGAGGGAGGAGAAGCGGGGACGTCCGGGGCGACCGAAGGAGCCGGAGGGTCTCAGAAGARGGAGGGAAGCGAGGCGAGCGCCGCTCCGTGGAGGCAGAGGGCTCGAGACGGGAGGGAGACCGGCGCCCGGAKCACCACAAGGACCTCACCAGAACCAGACCCTCCGCAGGAGGGGAGGCGACGTCGGACCAGACGACAGGAAGGAGACGGTTTTATCCGTGATTCAACCGACAGAGTCCGGTAAGTCCTTAGATTTTATTTAGATTTAAAAACGTCTTTTTGTTGTTTTTTCTTCCATATTTTATATTTTCTGTTATTTGTTCTAAAGGGACGACGACGAGCAAGAGAGCGAGAGGAAGGTCGATGAAAAACACAAAACCAGAAACAATGAGGTCATCCCAGAAAGTTTCAGTCAGAAAGTACAAGGAAGGACAGATTCATGTGAACCTAATGTAAGAGACTCTGATCAGCTGAGGACTGTCTTTAGTTTTAGAAAGAAAACACCATATGCAGATGAAATCTTTTTATTTGAGTTGGAACAGTTGGAACACGAGCGAAGTGTTTAGTTTTATACTTTCTGACCGTTTGAACACGTTTGAAGGGTCAGATTTTTCCGTGTGAGTCAGGAGAAAATCGTCTGCTGGTTGGACGCGTCTCGTTCTCGTTCCTCTGAAACCAGATTCTGGGTTTGGGCCGTGTCTGATGTGACTCGTGTTACCGTACATATATTCAGAACACTCAGTGTTTATGGACCTGGGCTGGTTTGACGGTCTAACCATGTTCTGTGTAACGTAAACAAACGGAGTTATTTGGTTGTTAAGTGTCATCGTTTCATCGCTCTAAAGTCTCAGCTTCACATTTCTTCCTCTGAAGACAAACTGCTTCAACATTCAGGTGTCTAAGCGCTAAGTTTAACAGCTCTGACTTCTGTTTGTCAGATTATCTTGTTTTCTTTTTTTAGTCATTTAACTTCATTAAATGCATTGAGATCTCTTCAAATCTTTAAAAACGTTGCTCTGAAAACAAACCTCCTGCTGCCTGTTTTTTTAAATCATTTTAGATTCAGTTTGTTGGTCATCCAGATTTAGAATTCATTCAGTGTTTTGCTGGTTTTAGCTGTTGAATGTCCATTSTCATTTTAGTTTCTTGCTATTCTTTCACTAAATTGAGGTTTTTGGCACCAATCCTGTACTTGTTTTGATTCTATAGTGACTTTTAGACAGTTTTGACATTTTAGTTACTGAGTATTGCAGATTTTAGCAACTGCACATTGCTAATTATGGCTACTTATGTTTGTTTTCTGTTGTTTTTGGTGCTTTTTAGCTTTTGTGTTTTGCAAATTTAGTATTTTTAGTGAGTTTTTGCTCATTTTAGCACCTGAGTYACTGTTTTGTTTTGGTTTGGTGTTTTAGCTTCTGCGTTTTTCAGATTTTGCCAACTGCATTCAGCTCTTTTTGATGCTTTGCTAACTGTTTTTGCTGATTTGGTCTTTTAAGCAACTTTGTTTTTCTCATTTTGGTGCTTCAGTGACACATTTTGTTTAGTTTGATGCTTTAGCTTCTGTGTTTTGCTCATTTTGATGTTTTATTACTGGTTTCTACTAGTTTTGACTTTGTCGTTTCTGTGTTTTGTGGATTGAATATTTTTAAAGATGAGTTTTAGCTCATTTTAAAGCTTACTTAACTATTTTTGCTGGTTTGAGCCTTTTTAGTTCTGCATTTTGCTGGTTTTTCTGCTTTTATTGACTGTTGTTTTTTTTGTGTCAGTTTTGAATAATAATTACGTTACAGCTTTATTTTGGTGAATTTGTCCCGGTTAATCTTAATTTCCCGCCCTTTATTTGCTCCACGATCGTCTGTAGGAAGAATCAGAAAACTCTCTCCTGGACAGCGTGGGCCCTCAGTGCTGGGTAAAGCTTCACACCACCATGTTAAGTGCAGTTTTTGTGATGGCGCCTCCTCAGCCTTGCTCATGTCTCTTCTCTCCCAGGAGCCCGTCTTTGCCTCTGTGTATTCTGTCAGTATGCCCCAATATATCTTGTGTTTCAACCAGGTAACTGTGAGCCTCTGCATGCTGTCTTCAGTTTGCAGTGGAAACATGTTTCTCAGCAGCTTTAGGGGATGTTTTTGCAGCTGACGTGTGAAGTTTCACTCGTTTTAACGAGGAAAAATCAATCAGTTCTGTGTGCAGATTGTGATGCTGAAGGCTTCAGTTTGCTTGTTTACTTTTTTGTAAACAATCCAAACAAAACAAAAACAATGTTTAAATGTTGCTGGTTGAGTTTGTTCTGATCGTCCGTTTAAATTTAACCTCTTGTCTTTTTTTCCCTCTTCAGACCAACCTGTCGTTTGAGGCTCAGGAAGTCACCTCCCCGAGGAAGAACCTGATCAGACCTCAGTGGAGACAGAAAGTGGGACTTTTATAAATAATTTTTTAATGTTTGAATTACTTGAAAGGATCGTCCGTGTCCTGATGTTTGTTTTTCTGTTTCCAGGCTAAAGATGAGCTTGAGCTGGACGGATCTGAGGAGAGGAGTGAGTTTTCTTCTGTTTTTCTCTGTAAAGTTGATGTTTTCGCTCTTCTGATATTTTTTTTTTCCTGCGTTCGAGTTCAGGATCTCCTGAATCAAATGGCYATATCTCCCCGAAGAAGACATGTGACGGCGAAGCTTCGGCCTGCGAACAGGAAGGTCAGAGCGGCGCCGACGGTTTGTTTTCACGCAGATGATGTGAAATAAATATTTAAGTGGTTTCATCTGCGTGTGCCACAGCTCAACGATCTGAGGCGACGCTGGCAGACGACTCCAACGCAGACGGAGGTCTCTGCGGCGAGCAGCCCCCTCCTCCRGCCTGCGCCCCCGCTCCCTGCAGCCGCGGCGCCGCCTCAGAGGGAGAACAGGACCTGGGAGTCCTGTGTCAGAACAGCACGCCCATGTGAGTCCAGATTTAAACTACAAGAAACAATTTTTTTTCTTTCATGTTCCGTAAAATAATCTGCAGCTGGAGTGCTTTTTTTTTCCTCACTGGTGAAACAAAATCTTTTGTTGAATTCTCAGTTTTACCAATAATTAAACAAAACTATTTTTTTTCCTCTTTCAAAAATTACTGTAATTCTTTGGATGAAGACAACCTCGGTTGGACCATTTGTTTGTTACTACCATTATAACTCTTACTTTCATTTTTTGCAATAAAACTTTAAGTTTTAGTGAAAAAATTGCTTATTGGTTTATTTATACCTTCAGTTACTTTAAAAAAAACTGAAGTACTTTATTATACTTAAGTAAATGTAATTTATCTCCTCATTAATAATTCATCTGCTTATAAATATTTTATGTTTCTGCAGCAACAGTGACATCTGCTGGTCGCTCCTATAAATACACAGAAATCTTCAGGATTCAGATTTGAAGTCTTAATTTGTCTTAATGTAATAAATATTTTCTGTAACTCTGCTCTGTTTTTGTTCCTTGTGTGTTTTTTTGTCGCAGACTCAGCTCAGCTGTGGCAGAACACAGGCGATCGGTTCGCCCGTCCCGCCGGACTCAGGGCTCCAGAAACCCCCTGAGGGCTCTGGCAGCCAGAGAGGACATCCTGCAGGACTACATGGGGGACGGAGTCAGCACAGCTGCCGAGGAGAGGAGCCAGGAAGAGAGAAGTCAGTCCAGCTCTGCATCACTTCGTCTTCATCTCTGCTCTTTAACCAGCTGACCTCCCGTCTCTCCTCAGAGTGTAAGAACTCCTCCTCCTCACCAGATTCACACCCTGTCCCGTCACGTGACGTCCTGTCCTCTTCAGACCCAGCAGAGTCCTGTCCCCCCTTCAGCAGCCTGATGCTGATTCTCATCAAAGGTCAGGAAAGATCAGATAAGCGTTTCTGATGGCTTCACGTGGGTTTTAACGTCGATGTTTGACAGGTCGGCGGCGGGTCCAGGCGCGTCTGGTCGAGCCGTCGGCGCGGTCATTGAACAGKGACGACTGTTTCCTGCTGGTCACCTCGGAGCACTGCATCCTGTGGAGCGGAGAGTTCGCCAATGAGCAGGAGAGGGCCATGGTACGTCCGAGGACGCACCCTTGGACTTTTTATTTTTAATCCTCAAACTTTACTGCGTTTATTTCAGGCCGCTGAGCTGGCGTCCCTCATCCAGACTCAGAAAGATCTGGGCTGTTCGGCCCTCGAGGTGGTCCGCCTGGAGGAGGGGCTGAACTCTGACGGCGATGCGGCCGAAGACTTCTGGAGTCTTCTGGGAGGAAGGAAGCCGTACCGAGGTGGGAGGTCAAACCAGGCTTCAGCGATGGTTTCATCAGTTTGTAAAACAGCATCAAAGAGTTTCTCTCTCTCCACAGGTGCCGGCGCTCCAGAGGAGGACGAGACTTTTGAAGTCGGGGTGGAGGAGTCTAACTGTGTGTACAGGCTGCTGGAGGACCGGCTGGTTCCTGACGAACAGGTCTGGGCCTCGGCTCCCAGCACCGGCCTGCTGCGCCCCACCGAGGTCCGACTCCCAGTTCAGCTACTTCCTGCCGGACGTTTCGTCTCCTCTGAGTCTTTAATCCGTTTGTTTCCAGGTTCTGGTGTTCGACTTCGGCAGCGAGGTGTACCTGTGGCACGGCCGGGACGTCCCCCCCGACAGGAGGAGCATGGGGCTTCAGCTGACTCAGCAGCTGTGGGCTGGAGCGTACGACTACAGCAACTGTCGAGTCAATCCGCTCAACCCCACTCAGAGCAACCCCGGCGTTCAGCTGTACGTCCCCCCTGCAGGCAGCCAAATCACAAAAACTAAACTCAGACGTGCAGGATATGTTCAGGCTTCCTGCAGATCCTTCAAAAGGCTTAAAAGGCAAAAATAAGGCCTTAATTAGCCTTAAAATGTCTTAAATCAATCTTTCAGAAGTCTTAAAAATGTTAACACATTGTAAATAGGATGATTGTAATTCATCTCAAATATTAAAACAATTGGTAACTTTTATTTTTTAAATATTCACATGCAGACATTCCCCTTTGACATCACTTCCTGTTACTTCACATACAAATATCTCAACAACCGTTCGTCTGAGTGTCAAATTTGTTTTGTAATATGTTAATATTGTTGTCTTTCCAAAAATGCATCAACTTTTCTTACAAAAGGGATCCATGATTAGTTGTAACATTAGACTTTATTTAATAAACATATATTTTAACTGTAAAATAAAGACCGTAAAAATACTGTAGGCTGTTCAGTTTTTATCATTTTTAAACTAAAAGTTAAAAAATATATTACACGGATGGGGCCATTCACACGCAAAGCATTCTGGGTAAATGATGACGTGGATAGGTCCTCGGTGCGAGGCTGCTAGCGAGCTATATCCACCCTGAAGGTTAATCTTGGACAATATCTGATGATCGACTCTTTTAAATGAAACCAGAGAGCGTTGACAGAGAGGAGAAGGTAGAAATGACTCAGCCTGGAACTGAAAATATGGATGGAGGACAACAGAGCTGCTTRATGGAAGAAGAACCTCAGCTTAGCCTGTTAGCTTTAGCGTTAGCCCTGACGCTATCACCMTATGTATATGTATTAGCTCAGCGCTACACATTCTCCTCTCGTCACTGAGGTCCTCCATCCACGACAGAGAGGGGAACACAAAAATGACTCAGCCTGCAACTGAAAATATGGATGGAGGACCTCAGTTTAGCTTGTTTGTCGCTCTAAGAGTCGATCATCAGATATTGTCCAAGATTAAKCTTCAGGGTGGATATAGCTCGCTAGCAGCCTCGCACCGATGACCTATCCACMGCATCATTTACCCAGAATGCTTTGTGTGTAAATAAAATGGCTCCGTCCGTGTTAAAATATATTTTTTAAAATGTGCAAAACTAAACAGCCTACAGTATTTTTACAGTCTTTATTTTAGTTAAAATAAATGTTTATCAAATAAAGTCTAATGTTACAACTAATCAGGGATCCTTTTACAAAAACTTGATGTCACTTTAAGGTTTCATCTACAGCAAATGTGGGTTAAGACCCCACTGTTGGTTCTAAAACTCCAAATTTTGGGTTATTAGAGGATTTCCAGAAATTAAATTAATTTTAAAACTGACTGCTCAGAATCTTTCTGCTATAGTTTGATYTGGATAAAAATAGTTGGTCTATCAGCAATATTTGAATACTTCTTCAACCAAAAAATACTTTGATTCATCAGTTTCTGCCACAGTTTTTATTTTTTTGTCATTTGTGTTTATTTTGAAACTGGTCTTAAATTTAATTTCACTTGGCATTAAAAAGTTTTAAATTAAACAGGGCTTAAACTGCAGGAACCCTGTATGTAGAGTCTGGTCCAGTTCCAGGTGTGTTTAGTGTCGGACAGGTTTAACCGTTCCGCTTCGTCCTCAGGAGAGGTGAGGGCCGGCCCAGCTGGGCTCTGCTCGGCATCGTCTCAGAGTCCAACGAGACCATCCTGTTCAGGAAGAAGTTCCGGGACTGGACCTGCAGGAACGGAGCCCCTGAAGAAGTGGTTTCAGAAAAGGATCAGATGCTGGTCAGTCCCTCAGACAGCTCCATCATTTCTGTTTCTTCATGGTTAGTTTGTAAAATTTATTCTTTATCCAGCCTGAGCCTCCATCCTTGGACCTCCTGAGTCCCTGCGACGCTAAAGCTTTAGCCTCAGGAGAGTCGCTGCAGACAGAGAGTCCGTTGGGTTCTGTGCCGGCGGAGGTCGACGTCCGGAGAGGTGGAGGCGGCGCCACGTTGGAGAGCGGGCGCCGGGTGGAGCTGAGGACGGTTTCTGTGGAAACGTTTCACGTCCAGGAGTTTGACGACTGCGAAGTGCCTGTGGAGAGCTCCGGACAGCTTTACGAGGGCGACTCCTACGTGATCCGCTGGACCTACAGCAGCGGCACCGTCGGTCAGTAAACAGATGATAAGAGAATCTAAAAATGTTGTTTTGCTTTTATCCAGCAGYCTGCAGGAAGTGTAGCTGAGGACACTTCCTGCTCTTCATTTATAATCACATGATCAGAAACACGTGGCTGAAACTCAAAAACCTGAGTTTTTTCTGTGTTACAGAAAACGATGAGTGTGGCAGCATTCCTGGGTGGAAGGAGAACACGGTGGTGTTTCTGTGGCGAGGCCGGCGCTCCCAGGTCAGCGGGCGGGACTCAGCCTCTTTCCTCTCCATCGGGACGAACCATGGTGAAGTCTCACAGGTGCTCAGAAGCTCGCGCTGCGTTTCAGTCGTAAAGTACCTAAATACAAATACTTCTTTACTGTACTTAAGTAGAATTTTTGGTTATCTGTACTTGAGTAATTATTTTTCAGCCTACTTTTTACTTCTACTTCTTTCATTTTCACACAATTATCTGTACTTTCTACTCCTTACATTTTTTAAAAATGACAAGTAGAAAGTCGTTACTTTTATTTCATGTTTGCTTGTTTTCATTCCAGCTCGTTATTGTAAAAAATAAATATCCTTATGAATTGTGCCTCCTAGATAGAGTGAATTTAACTGTGGTTGAATGAGAAGTATAAATATATAAAACTCTGATAGTGTATTAGTTTGTACACAAACAAATCATGTCACACTCCAGCAGGACATAATCATTCAAATAAAAGTACTGTACTTAAGAAGTATTTGTATTTCATGAATTATATTATTGTATTCGGCCGCAGCCCTCAGATAGATTTTTAATTTGGYGAAAACGTTTATGCAGCCTTGATATATGTATATAAACTGAAACAGCTGGACTAGTGCATCTTACATTTAACATTAATTCATTATTTTAATACAACAGTCATTTCTGCATTTTTTGGGGAGGTCACCTCCTAATAAATGTCCTTACAGAAAATCTAACTGCTCATTTTAAATCAATAGTTTTACTTTTAATATTTAAGTACAAAAACTATCAGATACTTTAAGACTTTTACTCAAGTAATATTCCTAAAGGAGACTTTAACTTTTACCAGAGTAATTTTTTGGAAAGATACTTGTGCTTTTACTCAAGTATCACTTTGTGGTTCTTTATGCAATACTGTGTTTCAGTGATTGTTGTTGTTGTTGTTTACTGTCTGTGTTGTTTTCGTAGGTGGTCGTGCCTCAGGGTAAAGAACCTCCGTGTTTCCTGCAGCTCTTCCAGGGCAGCCTGGTCATACACAGGGGGAGGCGAGAGGACGCCCCCACCTGCTCAGGTGCAGTAAGATGAGAGGGTTTCCCGCAGCGTCTCTGCTCCCGGCTGATTGTTTGTGTTGGTTTCTCTCAGCAGACTGGCGTCTGTTCTGTGTGCGAGGAGAGCTGCCTGAGGAGGCTCTGCTGCTGGAGGTGGACTGCCTCTGTGAGAGCCTGAGGTCCAGGGGCTCTGTAGTCCTGCTGAACAGCCAGCAGGGGGCGCTGTACCTCTGGACTGGCTGTAAAGCTCCCAGCAGCACCAGAGAAGTGGGCAAGCGGGCGGTGCAGCGTCTGACCCAGATGTGAGCTTCAGATCTTTTTTTTTTTTTAAAGACGAGCAGCGTTAAGTCTTTAACTCCTRCTTTGTGTTTTGTGGACATCAGGTGTCCACCGGAGCTGGGCCTCAGTAAAACCAGTCCAGTGGAGACTCATGCAGTAGATGAGGGTTCAGAACCTGCAGAGTTCTGGGCAGCACTGGGCCAGATGGACCGGAAGGCCTATGACTGCATGCTGCAAGGTGAGACACCACTTTCATTTATTCCTCGGCTCTTTTCTTGTTCTGCAGCATTGTACTAAATGAACATTTCATTCATCAAAACATTCGGCTCCTTCGGGACGTTTCGGCTGTGACTTTWTAGATTTCAGTAATTGAAACTTGTTAGGATATTTAGCTGTTTCTGACATTTTTGTTTCTCATTGAACATGAAGAAAGCTGTCTTCAACATCCTTTAAAAGCTTTTAAATTTTCATAAATCCTCACTGAACTTTTCACTTCTGTTCTGGTTCTGCTTTTTTTATAATGCTTTGTACTAAATTTAGTTGTTTTCAACTTCTTTCTGCCAATAATCACTGCTTCTTTTTACTTCTTACCGTTTAAGCCTTTTGTGATCCTGTTGTTTTTATTTTTTATTTTTCTGCCGTTTCACATACCTTTAGTTGTTTTTTGCTAATTCAGCTAAATTCATGTTTTGGTGGTCCTTTTCAGCTTTATTCAGCAAACGCGCTCCTTCAGTTTCTTTCTGCTAATTTCATCTTTTTTT